TTTTGATGAATATTTTTGTAATTTTTGGTAAAAAGTGATATTTTCGACTTCCTGTTGAAAACCGCAAGTCCAATTGCTTTGATATATTATACATATAGGTACTACATGTGGACCTCTCTCAAATTTGTTCATTTTCTAATGATATCTTCTGTTCTTTAATTGCCATGTGCATTGCTAACAGCGGAGCTATCTCAGCCGACAGGCTGCTTGTTCATTTCATGATGATATCTTCAATTCTCTAATTTTGGTGAATATGTTTGTCATTTTTGGTAAAAGTGATATTTTTGACTTCTTGTTAAAAACCGCAAAGCCAATTGCTTTGATATTACGTATATAGATACTACATGTGGACCTCTCTCAGATTTGTTCATTTTGTAATGATATCTTTAATTCTCTAATTTTGGTGAATATTTTCATCATTTTTGGTAAAAAGTGATGATTCCTTCTTGTTAAAAACCACAATCATTTATGGTGAAAAATGATATTTTTGAATTCTTGTTGAAAACAGCAAGTCCAATTGCATTGATACTATGCATATTGTTCATTTTCTAATGATATCTTCTGTTCTTTAATTGAAATGTGCATCGCTAACAGCGAGCTATCTCAGCCGAGAGGCTGCTTGTTTATTTAGAAACAAATCATGCCGCTTTCCCATCAAAATCCAAGCCAAAAGATCGTACTACAAAATCGACAAATCTCTTGCGCATTGCGTTCAATTACATTAACATATTTAAATGAGATATGGTAATTTGAACATGTTGGCATAATCCATCGTTTTCATTGGTTTATTATCGACTTGACCTGTCAGGTCAAAGAACACCATTTCAGGTCAAAACAAGGCGGATAATCGAGCATTGAAAATGCGATCGTAATCGATGAAATATATTTGCATTTCATAACAATTCAACGAATTTATTTTTTGTACGTTATTATAATCATTACTAGGTAATAATCAACAATTGTAAAACGCAGCATGACCAGATTGCATTTGCTACTCAGCAATGCAGTTGTGTTCGTTTTTTATTTGAAACTTCTTTTAGAATATACTTTCGTGACTAATAAAATGAAACAAAATAATTGTGTTTGGCGCACAAGGTTCGTCAATGTGATTTTTTTTCGAGAAAGATGCGCGGTCTACTTTTAAATCCAGCTAGAAAAAAATGTATACAATTTTAGATTAGCTTCTGCAATAGTTTTTTTTCATTTTGGGTGGTCCAACTGCCGGTGTTAAAAATCGGCGTAGGTGGATTTTTCAATGAAAATATAAGCCCCCCTAAAAATATTTGATGATAATTTTTTTAAAATTTGAACCCCAAATAAGGGCCCACCAGCCGTGAATCCGCCCAGGGCGATTTTTCGGATGGGCGAATTTACAGTAGAATTTGGTATAGGTACTACACGTGGACCTCTCTCAAATTTGTTCATTTAGTGATGATATCTTTAATTCTTTAATTTAATTCTTTAATTAATTTAATTCTCATTTTTGGTAGAAAGTGATAATTTCAACTTCTTGTTAAAAACCGCAAGTCTGATTGCTTTTATATTACATATATAGGTACTTCATGTGGACCTCTTTCAGATTTGTTAATTTTGGGGTGATATCTTATCTAATTTTGATGATTATTTTTGTCATTTTTAGTGAAAAGTGATATTTTTGAATTCTTGTTGAAAACAGAAAGTCAGGCAACAAGCTTTGATACTATACATATTGTTCATTTTCTAATGATATCTTCTGTTCCTTAATTGAAATGTGCATTGCTAATAGCGGAGCTATCTCTGCCGACAGGCTGCTTGTTTGTTTTTTTACTTTGAGAAGTGCTGTCAACCAAAGCATAACTATGTGTTTCTCTGTACATAAAAGTTCAATTTCACACGTTTTGTATGATAATATTTTTCTGGATTTCGCACTTTATTTGTATCATTGCTGTATGAGAAGTACTCTTGCCCTTATTAGAGATATTGAAACTAATCCAGGGCCACAAACTGG